GGCCCGGGGCCTGACCCCCTCCTCCCTCTGCCCCCTTTCCCTCCCTAGGTGGCGATGGCGACGGGGCAGGTGCTCTTCCATCGGTTTTTCTATTCCAAGTCCTTCGTCAAGCACAGCTTCGAGGTGAGCGCGGGCGCCAGGCCCCGTTCGGGGCGCCGGGTGGGTTTGGGAAGCCGCAGGCTGAGCTCCCCCAGCCCTCGGGGCACGGGGGGTTTTAGGGTTTTACTCGGTTGTGTAATTCTAATCGGGGTTTGAACTGTTGTTCTTACGGAAACGGGGCTTCCTTTCAGATTGTTGCCATGGCCTGCATCAATCTCGCCTCCAAAATCGAAGAGGCGCCCCGTCGCATAAGGGACGTGATCAACGTGTTTCACCACCTGCGTCAGCTAAGAGCCAAAAGGTAAGGTCAGCTTCGTTACGGACGGCAGCATCCTGTCGCTAATGTACGCTGCGGTGTCAACTCACAGTGTCTTTCCAGGTTAAGTTCAACGACCTAAAATTGAGAAGGGAGTGCCCGTTGGCTGCTGTGTAGGCAGAGCAGTTCCGCGCTGACTGTGTCTACCCTTACGTCTCGTGCGCTTGTCAGACCCGGTTTGGTTGTGTGTATAGCTGAGTCACGAGCATCAGCTGCAGTTTTAGGTCCACGGCTGTAGTTTTGGGGCTGTTGCTCATTGGTATCTTGTAGTTTGGGAAAGGTAGTCGCAGGTAGCAAGAGGCAGCGAGCGGGTTGCTGCATATTCTCCAGCCTGGTAGCGGTGTTCAGTAGTGTCAGTGCTTCGCTCCCGTTAGCGTGTAGCCGTCCGGATGTGGTTATGGTGCCGATAAAGTTTGAGTGAAGGAAGGATGGAAGCTGAGCTTTGCCAGTGGTGATAGCATTATCCTTTAGAAACAGCCATTTTAGCAGGTATCAGGGAAAAAACAAGGGTGGTTTGGCCTACGGTGTTGGCAGCGTCTGTGACACCGCTTCACCAAGGACTGCGTAACTGAGCCTTGGAAGCTGGAGGCATCTGTGACGGCAAAAAAAAAGTGAGGCTTGTGTTGTCGTGGCACCGTGGGCTCGTGCCGGTGGAGCTGGAGTGGAAGCAGTCTGCTGAGCTGTAGAGCTGCGCTCGGCTGTGAGTGCCTCACTGCCGCTTCCCTGCGTGTGGGGCGGTGCGTGCTTTCCTCCGTGAAGCAGGCCCGCGGCGTGTCGGAAGGAGCAGGGAATGGTTGCAGGGAAGGAGTTTTGCTATGGAATGCCACGTTTCTTCTCAAGTCAGTGTTGGTCTGTGAGCGTGGAGGCGTTGGCTGCAACGAAGAAGCGTTCCTTTTCGTGGCCGACTGCTTAAAGCGTAAGGTCGTCCCTCGTGACAGGAGGGTTTGTTTCCGGCTAGATGCTAATTCCACGCTTCTGTTCCTTTGCTCTGTATCACGGGTTACAGCGGGAATTTAAACTTACCTGTTGTGTACCCTTTTCTGAGGAGAAGAGTAGAAATCCTCAGGGAAACCAGCGGTTCTGGTGTTTTCATCCTGGTTAGGCTTCTGTTGGATGGAAACCGTAGGCTTTTCCCTGCCGTGTGCCGGCGTTTTTCTGGCTAGTTTCAGTTATGAGAACAGTTGGGTGTTCCACTTTGGAAATTAGCTTTGTCCTTTTTTTGTTTTTCTTAAACTAGTGGTCCCTGCCAGCCCCGGGAGTTTTGTGACGGTACGCGGGATGCAAGGCCGGCGGTTTTGTTGCTTACCACAGTTGTGATAAGGGAGTGTCCTTCCTGGATTTCGGAGCTGGTTCGGTGACTCCTAATGTCTTGGCCTTGGTCCAGGCAGCAAAGGTTAATTAATCATACGCTTTTCTGTAGGATGAGAATACAGATTAGTGGTTCCTTTGCGCTGCGCGAAGGAGCAGAGAAGCTGAAGTTAACCTGTGAGCTTAAACCTTTCCAGCTAGCCCGTGCCAAACCAGGGTGTCACTTGTGCAGTTACGTGGTGCCTAAAGTGCATCACGGTGAGAGAAATCGTGTACTCCACCCCTTAGTTTCTGGAGAAACGGGTACTCTTGCTCTGAGGTTCTGAGGAAATCTGCATGAAATTAATCTTAAAAATGCTGAAGTCTGACATTCGGACTTCCCTTTTTTTTTTTAACAAGCAGGATGTAAACGTTTTTTTCTGTACTTTTTACAAGATTACAGTCGCGTAACCTGTACACGCTATTAACTTCAACTCTTTTTTCCCTTGCAACCGACTATACAGCGACCAGCTACATTTACCAAAGCCTGGGTGATGTGGAGTGGTACGTAAAGATGAAGCTGTCGTCATGGCAACAGTGAGTGAAGTATCGAAAATCCCCAAGGAGAAGCCAGTGCTCTGAGAATAGGTCACTGGAATCGGGGGACAAACAGGTTGGCCGCTGGTGAACCATTTGGAAGAACTCCTGTATCTTGTTATAAGCTTTTTTCTTTGCTGTCCAGGTTTTTAGAATACTAGTTTGATCTTTGTTTTTATCTGAAGCTAACACGTAGGCCGTAGTTGGTTTCTCACACCCAACCCAGAACTGAAGTAATCAGTCAGGCTGCTGTATTTTCTTTTTGCCTCTAGTCTAGTATTGCTGTTAACCTGCCCCCATGAAGTCTGAGTAGTTTGAGTAGGCTTGCTTTCCTTCTTAAAACAGTTTTGGGTTCCCAGTTCCACTTTCTGGCTCTGCATAACTGCAGTTTACGTTCCTGGTCAAACACGCCTTCGCGAGGAGGCGGGAGCCGTGCATCTGTACAGCTGTTTATGTACCTTACTGTGTAAGCAGTCCCTTACATGTACCTGCTTGCAGCACGGAGAATCCCGTTGGAACTGCCTTTTTGTAAGACCTGTAGTCACCTGGGGTTACTGCGAGGGGGCTTTCCTAATACTGAGAAATAAGAAAAAGCTTTAAAAAAGTGTGTTTTGGACAAGCGTATTTTCCGTGAGATCTTTCACGAGCGTATGTCATGTGGTACTGCATGTAAAAATGTTTGTATGCATGGAGAAAAGCTCGTATTATGAAAATACTGCTCTTGAAACAACTGTGTGCCAAAACATCTGTGTTCTGAGCCAAGTGTTCTTTAACATGTGGAATGGAGTTCGAAGTCGATTTGATTTATCTGAAATGTGCCCGAAAGCTGCAGAAAGTCCCTTCGAGAGCGGAACGGAGCGTGACTCCTGTCGTGGCGTAATCCCAGAAACACTGGTTTGAGACGCTCGGCCAGCTGCGCTTTCTGTTCACACACGCAGTCGGGCTGGAAGTGGCCTGCGTTAACCCTGCACCTCCCTTAGTGTTCTTCAGACGGCTGTGTACGCCCACGCTGCTTGTGCTCACCGCGTTGGAGACACCTACACAGCTCGCTTCCTTCTCGCGTGTCGGCTGGCACGAGAGAGGCCTGGTCTTTGAAACGGGACGCCGGTGTTTTGCCGTACTTGCCGGAAGTACGTTCTGCCTCAGGAACAAAGCTGCACAGGGCGCTTCTCCGAGGCGTTAGCCATTCCAAAGACCTCACGTTTTAACATTACGTCAGACGAAGCTGTAGCGGTGTGGAGAACTTAGGTTTCGTTTGTCAGGGGGATCTTAAAAGAGGCTGTTCGTAATTTATTGATCGTTACAAACACACAGCAGTGTGCATTCACCTCTCGGGCTGTTACGCAGTTGCTGAATCCCAATGAAGTTCTGTGACTTAAGTGTTGGAATTAACAGAATGGGCATGTTGTGCTCTCGGTTCTGAAGCCTAAAGTCCTGCCTGGAGCACGAGTGTGGGTCTGAGAACAGATTCCGTTTGTAACGCTGCTTGGCTCTGCCGGGCTTGAAGCTCACATCTTACCTACAGTCTTATAAATTACTCTTCTCTGATTGCTACTCAGGCCTAGAATAATTACATCTTGGACCGGGGGCTGGGTGCAGCAAATGCAGTAGCAAAGTTCCTCTCTTTTCTCAGTAGGAAAGCTAAGAAGTTTTCCAAAGGGAAATCTCTGAAGTTTCCAACTCCTGAATAATTATGCACACCAACACTTGGGAGTTTATGGCAAAAGTACTAAACTGGTAAACCTTAATACCACGGGGAACCAGACTTTTGCCACTAATAAGGGGCAGTAGAGACTTCAGCAGATGTTCTGCTTCTGCATCAGTGGATAAGAGCCTGTTTGGGAATTCTGGATACACTGACGGTTTCCACGGCTGCCTTAGATCAGTAGAACTGTCACGTCCTAAGTGACCAGAGCGATGTGGGACGACAGTAAAGCACACTGTCCTCGGTTCGAGTGTCCCCTCGCGCCGCTGTTGAACGCCCGCAGCCCAAGCACGAGCAGTTGGTGCTGATCCACGTAACGTGCAGTAACGCTCGGCCTTCCCCATTGCCCTTCTGGCTCCCCGTGTTCTCATAATACCGACTGGCTTGTGTAGCCTCCAGAGATTGCAGAGGCACGTGGAAGGTAGTCATCCGATGGCAGGTTGTTGGGTGAGCCCGTGTACCCACGTTGTCCCAGTGTTTTTTTGTTATTTTGCGGGATTGGGGTTTGGTTTTTTTTTTGACTGGAAGTCATAGCTGCCCAAGTTTTTTCATCCAAGATTTGTCACTTCTGAATTGTGTGAACAAGACAAAGCTGAGCCTGGACACCTAAACGCTCTAAATGACGCCTTGCAGATCCTGTTAGTGCCAGTGCTCTCGGGATAAAACAGTGTGAAGCAGTATCGGAAGAAATCCTGAGACAAACCCCAGCACAGTTCGTTGAAATCAGTGGGAACCAAATCGGTTTCATGCGTTTGACGAGCTTGAGTTTGGTTCTTCCTGTCTCCTGCTCCAGAGCGTTGTGTCCAGACAGCCTCTGTGGCCTTGGGGTGTTCCGAGGAAGTCATAGCCTCTCTGCTGAAGTGGTTCATGAAGCTTTAGAAGTCTTCAGCTTCTCGTTTGGTTACCAAAAAAATCACAACCAAATCATACTGTGACTGGTTATATTTGGAGTAGCAGAAAGAGAGACTTTGTGACCAGCCCCTGATGAGTTAACCCTTAACTGGAGAGTGACTTCTATGTAGCACATGGCTTTTTTGTAGGGGACAGAAGTAGGAAGGCTGGTACTCAAGTTGTGGGCCCTTCCGGGCACCAGGAAGCGGTTGGTCACTGCAAACCTCCTGGGAGCCGTTTCTCTTGGGAAGAGCAGGGGGAGCTCACGATTCCCCTGGGTGGTTAGGCAGTGTGAGGCCTTTATTAGCTCGGTGGGTGGCTCGTTGTGTCCTTTGGCCGGTGGTGATACGCATCCTTGCAGGTCGCTGCCAAGCCTTGGCCTGAACTGCGCGCTGCTGAAGCTGGGGAGCCCTGCTGCTAACCTCGTCATTAAACTGACCCTCTGTGCCCGGGGCGGGAACGTAGGGGTTTGGGTGCTTCTCTGACCTACCAGGGGAGTGCGATCTGCTTGTGGAACTCGCATGGCATTAAAAAAGACAAGTTAGTAGTGAAATATTTTGTCTGTTAGAACAAAAGCTGTGGTTTGAATCCACTTGGCAGTACTTCTGAGGTTTTTTTTGCTTCTGAAGGTACTGTGAAACGTATCGCCAGCGCTTGGCTGTACTGGGTGTATCATGTACCCAGGGTGGTTGATTGGGGTGTAACTACTCGCAGAACCATTCCTCTGTGTCGGAAAGCATGTGGGATGTGTGAGGCTTAGGGAGGAGGTGGATTAAAACACACGGTGTGGAATGTTGAAAGGTCAAGCGTAAGCAAGGGCAGAGAGGGTGCAGGATGGAGTATGACACTCGTGCGTGCAGCATACAGCAGGTATTTTAGTTAAAACTTAAAAAATGCTTTGGAGAGCTCAGGAGTTGGGTTGGGGAGGAGTTAGGACTTGGTAGTGCTGGGCTTAGGAGCCCGTTCTGGAAATGCAGCTCGCAGGGGTGAGGGCAGTGTTCAGTCACAACCAGGTCTGTCACCACCTCAGAGGTGAAAATCTTCACTTCACCAGGCTTTCTGTCAGTGACAGCAGCAGGGCTCTCATCCCTGAAGGTCTGAGCAGTCTTGTCTTCCAGCGCGCAGCAGACTGCAGCTTGTGAAGCAGCAGCTTGCCGCTTCGCTGTCAGCGAAACCCCTGTTCCAGCCTCGCTTTGGCTGCGAGATCCTGCCTAGCCATGGCAGCAGCATCACGCTCCTTCCCCGCCTCTCGAGGAGCGTGAAGGTTCTGGGAGATCTTGGCCATCTGATGGGTAGCGAGTCAGAAGCAGAAAGTAGACGAGTCTAGGTAAACTTGGACAGCACAAGATTAATGCTTAAACTTGCTTGCAGGAGTTGAAAACCGGTTTCTGTTGCCATTAGTTGGTTGGAAGGGAAAACAGAGATGCTGCTGGTTTTGGATATGCAAAACAGTTTTGATTTTATTTCTTGCAAACTATAGGACTCCAAGCCCCCTGATACTTGATCAGAACTACATAAACACCAAAAACCAAGTAATCAAAGCAGAAAGGAGGGTACTGAAGGAGTTGGGATTTTGTGTTCATGTCAAGCACCCGCATAAGGTGAGTTGTCAGAAATAACCGAGCTGTAACCCTTGTACCTTGATGGCGTCACTGAGCTGCGGGACGGGAAGTGCAGGTGTAAAGCGACCTGATGTCGTCGTTCCTCAGTGACGGTGATGAAGGCTTTTGCCGGAGAGCTTGGGCGGATAGCCCAACTGCCTCTGGGAGAAGTTGCTTCCTTGGGGAACGTTAAAGGTGCCCGCTTTGGAAACTCACAGAGAAGCAGTAAATAAGGAATGGCGTGAACGTGAGCTTGTAGCGTGCTCGGGAAGGGCTGAGGGACCGTTGCTCTGGAATGCTCTTCGGTTGTGCGCGGTTACCGCTGCTTTATAGCTTAAAACTGAGTCTGGTTTCTTTCCCTTTCTTCCTCAGATCATTGTCATGTATTTGCAAGTCTTAGAATGTGAACGTAATCAAACCCTGGTACAGACAGCCTGGTAAGTTGTTATTTTCCATTCTTTTCCTAGCCAGGAAAATAGTAGCAGAAATAACAAGCCTGACGATCCGTATGCAAAGCACGGAGATGTAAGTTACCACACAAATACGTGCGTTCTCAGACATTTGAGTGCTTGTTTCTGCTTACTATTTTCATGGCTTGATTCCACGCTAGTAATGGAGAACTCAATTTAACTTTGTTCTTTTTTCTACTCTTTGATTAAAGGGTAGTCCATGATGGTAAGTCATAGAGCTCTGCCCTCTGCACCTCAGCCCATGGCCTGTTTGGCTGCCCTTCTCTCCAGCCAACCCAGTGCAAGCTCATCCGAGATTCACTGAAGTGGTCCATGTCCATCGGGCAGCATCTTCTAGTTCTGTCTGGGTGTCGAAAGGATTTGTATATTTGCTTTTAGAAGTAACTGTTCAAAATGTTTCTGAATGTATTTGTTGCCTAGCTACTGTGTACTGTAGTGCGTTGAAGGGAGACACGGGTAGACTGTTGCCGACGTTTATTGAGTTGATGTAGCGTTTGGCTAAACTCGAGTTAAAAGGCAAACGACGGTGCATGCAGCATGCTCACTTAGAAGCTGTATGGGGCATGGTTTTCCATGGAGTCAATACTTGCTGACTGCTGTTCCTTTCTTTCCCGTAGCTCGGTAACTTAGAACCGATGGGGGTCTCTGCCGTTTAAACCTACCTCTGGGCACGCGTTGCTTGGCCGTG